CCAAAGCAACTACTCTATTCCAAACTTAAAAATGGAAAGTGCCATGTTGGTGGTCAACAAAAGAGGTTTAAAGACTTTCTCAAGGCAAATCTAATAAAATGTAGTATAAACACTGACAACTGGGAAACACTGGCCTGCAAGCACTCCCATTGGAGAGCAGCCTTTACCAAAGGTGTAATGGGCTATGAAGACACTAAAACTCAGGACGCAAGGGTGAAACATGCTAAGAGGAAGGAACGCTTGGCAAACCCTCACCATGATCAACTCCAACCCAGATACCGATGTCCCCACTGTGGAAGGACGTGCAGATCCAGAATTAGCCTCCATAGTCACTTACAGATTCACTGTTAAAACCGTGTTTATGGAAGACAATCTTACTCGGCTATGAGGGATCACCCAAGAAAGGCAGTGCAAGCGCAGTGGCAGACTCAATCTGGTGCTCTTGAAAGCTTCTTATCTCCTTACTCCTTCCTCATCTGGATTTGATAAATAGCACCAATGCAACTGACCTGACCATCCAATCCTGCCAAGACGTTCTACAGGAAGGGAAGGTCTGTATGTGCCACCTTTCAGATATTTGGGGGTCTGTGCCCTGTTACTGAACTATGGTTGAGGAGAGATAATCTCCTTGGCAACTTGCTCTTCAGAGTCCATTTGGGTTTACGTTATAGTAGATTGTTTATTCTTGAACAGGTACGAGGCAACTTCCAAGTTGCCTACTGCGCTGGCAGTCAAGGAAGTGAAAGAAAAAGAAGAGTACGTATTCAAATAGATCTTAGGAAAGTTCAGCCATGTAAAAACAAAAAACAAAAACAAAAAAGGCATCAGAGGCCACCATGGCTAAGTGGCAACATAAATAACTGTGTCGGTGATAAGTAGAAAGCTTTTAACAGCGTAAGCAATCTGGTAAGGAGAAAAATGGAAAGCACTGTAAAAATAAGTAATAGGAAAGGAGGAGCTGGTTATTTTCATTAACTACCAGCAGATTTTTTTTGCAGTGACTTGATAGGAGTACTAAATAAAGAGTGTGCAAAAGGAACCAATGTAAATGAGGAAAGTTTCCATGATTTTGATGACCTTGTGCTAAATTTGTTGCAACTGGAGATATGAAGACCTTGCATGAAAGACCACAGAGAGAGAGAGGGAGGAAGGAAGGAAGGAAGGAAGATCACTTTTTCTGTTTATTTCTCTAATAACTCCCACCCCCCAGAGAAATGGTGAACATTTGGAACAAATGAAATGCTTCTTAATGCAGAGTTTTACTTACCCAAAATATGCAGTATAAAGATTTTTATGCACGACTATCTACAGCTTTAAAGAATGATAATCTCCTTGCACACCATAGACCAGGATTGGCTCCATGGGCCAGATCCTTACCATGATTTTTCCTGTGAGCACAATTTGGAAGATGGTTGGAACCGCCCACCTGTCAATCAACGGTCATCACAATAACACCAGGTGCAAGGTGCTTCAAAAGTCCAAAGTCGGGATGGGGAAGCACCTTGTATGGAGTTACGTGGAAATCCCTTCCTGAATCGGTCCAAAATTAACCTGCCATGTGCCAGTTTGTCAGGACTGAAGACTATTTCTATTTAAACCTGTCGGCCTGTCATCAACCTTGGCTGTTATATTCACAAAATCTGAGAAACTATGAATATTTTAGTGCTTTGTAGCGACTTTCCCCAACATGTTAGGAGAAAGAACACCCAACCAAGATTGTCCTAAGGAAGAAATAATGGCAACAATGCCCACTATTTATAGTGCACTTTCCATGAATGTTCAGAGCACTCCAATGAGTTATTTAGCTATCTAATTAGTTAGCTATTAAGAATATTTAGATCCTGCCTTTCCAACAAAGCGTTTCTCAGTTGTCTGGAAATAAAAGGAAAACGGATCAAACTAGAGATGCACCATAAAAAAACACACACACACCAAAGTAAACAGCACACACAAAAAGTAAACAGCACACACAAAAACTAGAGATAATCACATCTACCAGAAGCGTAATGTATGCCTTTAAAATCAGCCAACCTAAAGAAAAGTCAACACAGGGGGGACAAGGTGAACCTCCTGAGAAGGGAATTCCAAATGTCTTTCTGCAGGCACTGAAAAGGTAGTGCCATAGAGAGGCCAGTATAGCGTAGTGGTTTGAGTGCCAGACTGTGACCTGAGAAACCAGGGTTCAGATTTCCACTCAGCCATGAAGCTTTTTGGGTGAACTAGGGCCGTTTCCATTCTCTCAGCCTAACCTACTTTGCAGGGTGGTTGTGAAGATAAAGTGGAGAGGAGAAGAACCATGTATCCTACCTTGGGCTCTTTATAGGGATATAAATGTAAATATAAATGAATAAGTACATTAACAGGATGGTCCATTTTCAGATTTTAATGCCCTAAATGAAGCCCTAAATGGCCTCAGCCCTGTATACCAGAAGGAGCGTCTCCACCACCATCATTCAGCCTGGACACTGAGGTCCTCTTCCGAGGGCCTTCTGGTGGTTCCCTCCCTACAAGAAGTGAGGTTACAGGGAATCAGGCAGAGGGCCTTCTCAGTGGTGGCGCCTGCCCTGTGGAACGCCCTCCCATCAGATGCCAGGGAGATAAAGAACTACAAGACTTTTAGAAGATATCTGAAGGCAGCCCTGCATAGGGGAGAATTTAATGTTTGATGTTTTATTATGCTTTTCTATTTGTTGGGAGCTGCCCAGAGTGGCTGGGGCAACCCAGTCAGATGGGCGAGGCACAAATAAAATTATTATTATTATTATTAGGCTAATACTATTTTAAGATCAGACCAGGAATTTTGAATTGCGCTCATAAACCATTGTTGCTACAAGGGAGTCCCATGTCCACTGTAACACACACCCATCAGCAGTCCGGCTGCAGCATTTTGAACCATTTGCAGTTCCTAAATGTTGGGGGGGGGGAGGGTTTGGCTCAGAAAGTCTTGCAACGAGCTTGTGTGGTGCATCGGCGGCCTCATTGTAGACAGGAGGGCAATGATGTGGGACTGAGCCAAAGAGATGGTGTTTCAGGTGCTGGACTGAGGAGAAATGGTGGGAGCCCTCTCCCCCTTTTTCCCTTGAACCTTCCCAAGGACAGGAGGACAGTATTGATTTAGAACAGTGGATTGCAGAAGGGCATAGTCCAGAGGGGGAAAGCCGGGAAATACTGGGTGAGGAGCAACTAGAAAAGCATACACTAGGAGAGAGACAGCTGGCTGATTCAGTGTCCTTGGACATCATTCCTGAAGCCCCCCCCCCTAAAACGAGGTGGGCTTGGAAAGAGATGGAAGAAGAAGAAGAGGAGTTTGGATTTGATATCCTGCTTTATCACTACCCTAAGGAGTCTCAAAGCGGCTAACAATCTCCTTTTCCCTTCCTCCCCCACAACAAACACTCTGTGAGGTGAGTGAGGCTGAGAGAAGTGTGACTAGCCCAAGGTCACCCAGCAGTTGCATGTGGAGGAGCGGGGAATCAAACCCGGTTCACCAGATTACGAGTCCACTGCTCTTAACCACTACACCACATTGGCATAGAAAGCGCAATGGCAACAAGCTCAGATTACCCGACACAGGAGTTGAGAGCACAATCTGGACTCCATAGTCGATCACAGGACATTCTTCAGCCATAGTCCTGTAAATCACTGCGGCCCACATCCTGAGAGGAGAGCACGCATAGCAGAGTTCAGCGAAACATGTGGTTGTGTCGGAAATGAAGCATTGGAGTCTTACAGCAAAATAAAATAAAAGCATCACGACAAGCTGGAAGCTGCGTCTTCTCACACAGACAGTCTCTCAGAAGAGAGTGAGAGAACAAAGAGCTGAAGTTCTCACAGACTTACTTCCGTTCCCATACTCACAACAGTACAGAAAAGTAAACACAGGATCATATGATCCAACAATGGAGAACGAAATACTGACAGGAGTGATGTAGATTAATGGGGACGGAGAGGGGTAAACCTCTACTGGGAGCAACACCATTTTTTGCATGCTATGCCTTCCTTTGTCTCTCACTGTGATTATTAAAGAACTTATCTGGTAAGGACACTCCTTTTGTTTGATCTGCTTAATTACTGCCACTGTGGGAAGGATCTGATTCTGTGAAGCCTGACATAGTGGTTTGCTTAGGGCCAACTGGACAGTCCATGGAAGCAGCTAAACCAATGCTTTTAAATTATTATTATTATTATTATTATTATTATTATTATTATTACTGCTGAAGCTGTTTTGGACAGGAGACAAAAGATCACACGGCACAGCGAAAAAGCAAGGAGGTAAGCTGGGTAATCTGTAATGATCTTCAATAACAAATCAGAGCTGGTCAACCCTCCATGCACCTTCAAGTATGCTTTACCTTCTCTTGACGTTCTAATTTTCTAGATTTTGCACTTCGCTACGGCTAGCTTAATAGTGATTATTATTGTTATTATTGTTCTGCTGGATAATGCTGCATCTGCCATAAAGCACACAGAGGGTTTTTACATGTGCATTCAGGGCTGTGAGATGGCACTGTTAATTTCCCTGATCCTGGCTCCACTTCAGTGCAGGAGGTGTTGCCCGCCTCACTGCCTCAGCATTTGAAAAACGATGCTTGGTTGCTCCTCTGATTACCTTTTTCCAGCATGCATCTTAAGCGGGAGCAAAGGAGTTTGTGTGAGAGAGGGAGTGAATATCAGAAATCTGCGCAAAATGCAAATCGAGGCTGCTTTTCCCCATTAAAAAGGCAGATTTAGAAAGACAGCAGCCATAATTCCAGTAATTTAGCATCTGGTGCTTTTTCTTCTTCTTCCAACAGTGCCTTTGTGTGCTAAAGAAGGGATGAGTCAAAACTACTTACCTCGTTTTGTGCTCATCTTTGTCTGTGTCAAAACAATGTTTGTGTTGTCTCAATGCTATTTTCCCCAGCACTGATTCCCTTTTTCTTTGCCCTCCCTGTCCTCAGAGTGACTCATTTTGCTCATGCTGTGGCTTAATCCCATTGGCTGTGGTTTTTATCAATGATGTCTGAGATAGCTCACTCGGTAGAGCATGAGACTCTTAATCTCAGTGTCATGAGTTCAAGACTCACTGTGGGCAAAAGATTCCTGCATTGCAGCCAGTTGGACTTGATGACCCTCATGGCCTCTTCCAATTCTACAATTCAACAATTCTGTGATAACAACTGCCTTGATGGAACACATGCAAAGCTCAATCCAGGCCAACTCTTTTGTCTCCTACAGTCACTGGACATGCAAAACGGCCAAGAAGCCAGACCCATTTGTAATTAATCTGGAGAGAAATGGATTATTTATCAGACATTCGGCAGATCGGACTGTGGAGACAGGAAGGAGTGCCTGGCCATCACTGCAGCCCTCTCTTCTCGCAAGGAGATCAAGGCAACATATTCTGGATAGCCAATTTTCTCATCTCAATATTCCTATGAGATACGTTTGGCTGAGAGACAGTGATTTGCCTGAGGGTATCCAATAAACTCCATGGCTGAACAGGGAGCTGGATCGATGTGTTAATCAGGTGCTCAAGGGGTGTCTCAATTCAACCTTCCAGGAAATGAAAGCAAGCTGTCCAGCAGTGTCAGCCGTCAGAAGGTAGCTTGCTGGGCAGCAGAGGAGCTGTCCAGAAGATAGCAGCAGGTTCCTAGAGGATGTTAAATAAGTGACTTCCAGCAGTAACAGGGTTTATGTACTCAGCCTTGTTGCCAGATAGCAGAACTCCTCAATTTTGAGTCCATACAGGATGCCCTTGGCCTCAAGGTCACCGTTTTGTCTTGAAGGGATAGCTGCCAAAGTCTAGGACAGAATGCCTTTGCAGTTCTCAGTGACACCCTCAACTGAAAGGGAAAGGAAAAAGGAAGTGCCTCAGCCACCTTGGGGGAAAGTGACTCAGTGACTCAGGTCCAAAGAAGAAGAAGAGTTTGGATTTGATATTCCACTTTATCACTACCCGAAGGAGTCTCAAAGCAGCTAACATTCTCCTTTCCCTTCCTCCCCCACAACAAACACTCTGTGAGGTGAGTGGGGCTGAGAGACTTCAGAGAAGTGTGACTCGCCCAAGGTCCAAAGAAGATCCCCAACGCACTGTCTGGTGCAGATTTGTGGGACCAGTTTCCCACAGTTCCCCAGTTTGAGGCTGGGGACAAGATCTTTGCAGATCTTTGCAAATACCCTCTTGACCCTTGCCAATCATGGATGATTTGAGCTGACCAACGGGGAGATCCAGGGTGTGTTATATGTGTTGCTGCACGTGTAGGTAGTGCCAGCAGCTCTCAAAGAATACAGCTGCTCCTGAAAAGGACCACCCTGATATTGAAGGAAAAGACCACCTAGTTACACAATGAGTTAATATTTTCCCTGAAGGAGCAGGTGCATAATCTGTGTGTGTGGGGGGGTGCTCCTTGATCCATCATTGTTGCTGGAGGTCCAGGTGACCACAGTTCCTAAGAGTGCCTTTTACCATCTTCAGTTGGTGCAGCTGCCATGACCGTCCCTGGCTGCCCTTAAGAAGCTGCAGGTAGCACTTCTTCTTCTTCTGTGGCGATCACTCGTAGCCGAGTAAGATTGTCTTCCATAAACACGGTTTTAACAATGAGTCCGTAAGTGACTATGGAGGCCAATTCGGGATCTACAAGTCCTTCCACAGTGAGGGCATGGTTTCTGGGCAGGAGTTGATCCCATGTGGATTTGCCAAGCGTTCCTTCCTCTTAGCATGTTTCACCCTTGCGTCCTGAGTTTTAGTGTCTTCAAAGCCCATGACACCTTTGGTGAAGGCTGTTCTGCAACTGGAGTGCTCTCAGGCCAGTGTTTCCCAGTTGTCCGTGTTTACGCTACATTTTTAAAATTTGCCTTGAGACAGTCTTTAAACCTCTTTTGTTGACCACCAGCATGGCGCTTTCCATTTTTAAGTTTGGAATAGAGTAGTTGCTTTGGAAGATGATAATCAGGCATCCGCACAACATGACCAGTCCAACGAAGTTGATGTTGAAGAATCGTTGCTTCGACACTGGTGATCTTTGCTTCTTCCAGTACACTGATATTACTTCGCCTGTCTTCCCAAGTGATGTGTAAAAATTTTCAGAGACACCGTTGATGGAATCTTTCATGGAGTTGGAGATGGCATTTATAAGTGATCCATGTCTGACAAGCGTACAGTAAGTTTGGTAGTACATCATTGTTGCCGGAGGCCCAGGTGACCACAGTGCCTAGGAGTGCCTTTTACCAGCTTCCCTGGTTGCCGTTAAGAAGCTGCAGCCAGCACACAACACAGTGGTTCACTGGCTGACTGTGGCAGCTTACTTTGATCTCCTAATGCCACTTTTAAAAGAGCTGCACTAGCTGTCAACATGCTACCAGGCCAGGTTTAGGGTTTGCTCATCCTTCATGGTATAGTATTGGGGGCCTGATCTTGACACATTTTTTTTTCTTGTAAGCCGGACTTGTAAACCGGATCCAAAATAATTTGCATCATTGTAATAACCAATGGTGGTAATTGAGGGGTCCAGCAGGAGGAGGGAATCCAGCCACTCCTGACTGGGCAGGCTCCTGGGATATGGTATCAGGATTCTGCCCAGGTGCCATGTCTCTTGCTGATTTTGATCCATGCTGAGAACCATGGCAGAATGATGATTCAAGAAGGATCCTCCTATTCTAATACAGTGGACGATCAGGTTGAGAATGGCACGTTTGCAACCCCCAGCGTTCGCAACCTGCAGCGCCGGGTCTGTGCACGCACAGGTCATGATTTGGTGCTTCTGCGCATGCGCAAGTGCCGAAACCCAGAAGTAACCCGTTCCAGTACTTCCGGGTTTGGCGCAGTGCGCAACCTGAAAACATGCAGCCTGAAGCGTCTGCAACCCGAGGTATGACTGTGTTGGGAATTGGCAGGTCCTGGCAGTGGGACATGAAACTCACATTGACTTGGTGCAGTTTCTTTAGCACGGTACTTTCAGGCAAATGTTGAGCACCTCTCGTTTAAAAGAGAGGACACAGCCTACAAAATCCATAGCCCTTTTCGTGCTCAAACACCTAAGTAAGCAAGAAATTCAATTGCAGGCACCCGTTTCACTTTCCCAATGCAGCAAATGTGGATCTTTGAACAATCTCAGTGTCTTCATTGATGGATGATCAGTGGCTGGAAAGATTTGACTGACAATACATCCCCCAAATGCCTCTCAGCTCTGCCTCATTGACATCAAGTGGCACAAGCAGCAGAGCACTCAGACTCTGAAATGTTCCCTCATTAAGTAAAGGATCAAAGACCGCTAAATTGTCCTAAATATAGACAGATTAACACAAATTCTTTAGCACATCAAGGCAAGTAACCAGATTAGCTTGAAAGCTTTTACAATTGTTCAGTTTAGGTTTTCAGCTTTTGGGAAGGAAAAAAAGAAAGAGTAAGGGAGTAAGACTATTACAATTGCATTACTTGCTTTCTTTTTGGATAATATTAGCTCAGTTTCCTTATAAACTTGTAGGAAATGCCCAGCTTTAAATAACAAAGCTATGAGTATCTAATTATAAAGGCAGATGTGATGCAATAAAGAATTAACTTCTTGCATTAAAAGGACCAGATGGGAAGAACATATCACCAGCAGGTACTGCAATACCACTTGTAGTAGTAGTAGTAGTAGTAATATTTATACCCCACCCATCTGGCTGGGTTGTCCTAGCCACTCTGTGCAGTTTCTAACAAAATAAAACAAAATAAAATATCAAAAATCAAAAACTTCCTGATGCAGGGCTGCCTTCAGATATCTTCTAAAAATTGTGTCGATCTTTATCTCCTTGACGTCTGATGCCAAAAAGCAAAACAAGACAAAATGAACACACCAAGATGTCATATCTAGTATGCAGATGTACTGGTGGAGGAAGAGGAGGGCGGGGGGAGCGCATCGCCCCCAGCAGCGCGATCCCAGTGTGGTGCCATTGCGGCTGCCCCCCGCCCGCGCTGGGTACCATGCCCCCAGGACGCGCGCCACACCCCTGTGGGCGAGGCGCCACACCCTGGGACGCATGCCACGCCCCTGTGGGTGGCATACCATGCCCCCGGGACACACGCCAGCCATGCCCCCGCCTGCTCTCCGCCCCTGGTGCCAGAGAATGAAGCTCTGCCACTGTGTAGATGAAACTACACATTTTAGAGACCACGGTGTTCCGTTGCACCAGAAGCGGTTTAGTCATGCTGGCCACATGACCCAGAAACGCTTTCTGTGGACAAATACAGGTGGTCTCGGCCTGAAGCGAAATGAGCACCGCACCCCATAGTCAAATTCAACTGGACTTTACCTTACATTTACCTACCTTTAGTACAGTTGTAGATCTGTTTAAGGACTTAATCCATTCTGGAAGTCTGTTCTTAAACTGAAACTGTTCTTAAACCGAGGCGTGCTTTCCCTAATGAGGCCTCCCGCCGCCAGTGCCCTTCCACCATTCCGCTTCTGTTCTTAGACTGAGGTAAAGTTTGCTAACCGGAACACTACTTCTGGTTTTGCGGAGTTCGTAAACCAAATATTTCGTAAACCGGGCTGTTCTTAAACCGAGGTACCACTGTACTGCTTTGAGGAGGGTGGGGGATGGTTGGTTTATTTATTTTTTTAGCCACAAACTTTTGATCTGAAGAGTTTTGGGTGAGTTGAGAGAACTTTACAGTGCGGTGAGCTGAACCACTTGAGATAGGTAATCTCCAATATTAATCCCCAAAAGATGAATGAAACATTGAGTGCGCTGATGCTTTGAGGTTAAAATGTGTCAGTGGAAAAGACAGTCATAATGCAGAAAGGTCCCTCAGAGCTTTAAATCAACAACAGCAGTTCACCCAAGAGTCTATTGCTGTTTGCAAACCTGCCATAAATTCTTAATAGTAACTGAAAACATCATAGCAGGTTTCAGATACCTTGTCTAAGCCAAATAAATTTTCAGGTACTTAAGTGCCACTTATTTTCTGAAGTGCCACAATATAGTGTAAGTCCCTGTCTTCATATTGTACTTTGTATATAGTGATTTACCTAGAATTAGATACACTAGTAATATAACTCCCATCAGTCTTTCTTTGGGGGGGGGTGTGCAGGGGGGATTTCATTCTTC